CCAGCTACTTGGAAGGCTGAGGCGGAAGGATCGCCAGAGCCCAGCAGGTCGAGGTTGCGGTGGCTGGAAGCGGCCACTGCACTCCAGTCTGGGTGCAGAGTGAGATTCCAACTCAAAAAAAAAAAAAGAATTGGCGTTATCTATTTAGCATAAAAGTAAAAAGAAAACTGCCACTTTCTGTTAATAACCGTTTACCTTTGGCAACTCAGAAGGTCTTTTAGCTGTACCTTAAAATGTTTGATTTGCTAGCTTTGAAAACTCAAGATGCCACATCAAAATTCAGATTTCTGACTCTTGTAAAATAAAAACATCAAAGTATACTGGGCTTGAATTCCCACCGGGAGCTGAGTAAATGGGCTTATACTCCTAGTTTGCATGTCCCTCCCCCACCTCTACCCTGATTGATTGGTTCATTGCCATTTTAAACCCCTCAGACCTTTACACAGGCCCGCCTCACACATGCCTTCAAGGGTGCTTGCTGATCTCTGAAGAATTCAAGTTTAGGACTCCTGCAAGTTTCACTCTCTGGGATTGTCAGTTTCAGTTCCCATTCTGTAGAATTTCTCCTATTTTGTGAACATTGCCAGATTGACTTGCTTATGTATAGCCTTCTTTTTTAATTGGATATTTTTCTTTCCAGGACCTTAGTAACATTGGTCCTGCTTATGACAACCAAAAACAAAGCAGTGCTGTGTCTACCAGTGGGAATCTAAATGGTAAGTGTTTATTTAAATGTCTCATTGCTGAATGATTAAGTGATTGGATCCAAATGTGCCTAGAATTGACCATTCTTTGGGTTGACCCTTAACCTGGATCTTACTAAATTGTTTTAAAGTTCAAACTCAATTTTTAGGAGCTAGCCAAAGATTTGACAGATGGTAAATGGAGACCTTTTTCTCACTTTACAACATAGTTTGATCTTAAGTGAGACACATTTTGCATACAACAAGCTACAATTGTAAGGTCAGATTTACCGTGTTTATATTAGACTCCTTGTCTGTATTTTCATAACTAACATTTAATTTAGAGTCAGTTGCTGTCCACTCTTTTCATAATTTAGCTGTAACTTAACAAACTTTCTAATCTTCTGATTTTTCTTGCCCTGAATTTTCAACTTATTCATGTGACAGCATTTCTATATTAATCGCCCATGCAGCATGTTTTCCTGTTTGTTAACCCATTTAAGAGGGGAATACCCTTTATTACTAATAGTAGGGTAATCTAACAAGAGTTGGGGTAGCTGGGTGGTAGTTAGCTATTCACATGGCGTAGTTAACTTATTTTTTGGAGTGGTAGCATTTTAAATATCTAAACATTTCCACTGTTATGAATTTCCTAAGATGGGTTGGAAGGCAAGTGTGTTGTTTATCTTTTTACACCATGTTTTCGCCTTTTAATTGTTAAAATTTGACAAATACAAGGTGCCACTTCTGTTCTTACAGGTGGAGCCACTTTTGGAGGTGAATTCCTCCTCTGTCTTCTTTCAGCCTCTCAGACTTAAGTATTTTGTGGTTTGGAAAATGCTTTTTGCTGAGTTGTGGTAGAAACTAAAACTAAATAATTTTAAAGCATTGTGAAAATGGTGGCAGTCGCACTTAATACGAAACAGTAGTTCAGTTTGATGTTAGTAATTAAAAGCTTGTGTGTTGTCATATTCTGCCTAACATGGCCAGCCAGCCCCCTTGGTGTTGCTTATTCTGTTTTAGATGGATCTGAAACGTCTCTTAAAATAATTACAATGCAAATGATAGTAACTCAAACTAGAGATAATGACATTGCAACAGTTTAACATGAAGCCTTTATAAGAAATAGGAATAACATCTGATGTGTTCATAAAAGGAAGTTCTGCATAGATCTGGTCCTGTATATGCAGAATATGACTTACCTTCAATGTCTTGATCCTTTTATTGCAGCAAAACTGCTGATAATTTTCAGGCTTGCCCCAAATTAAGATACAGTACTCTGCAGTTGTTTATGTAAAGGTGTTTTCCTGCAGTTCAGGGACGTTTCTGGAAGGGTGGAAAAACAAATTAATTGAGAGGAGTGAGAGACCTGGACAAAAATTTACAAATACCCATTTCAGAAATATACAAGGTAATCCTTGTGCATATATATAGCTAAATTTTTTTGGTATCACATATGTAAATTATCTATTGAAATTCATTGTTCTTAAATTTATAAGCCTGATAGCCTAACCTGAATTTTATGCACTGGCACAATCATAATAAGTGTTGTACTGACGAATGGGTATGGAGCTAAAGATTGCCTACCAAATTTAAAACCTTCTTTCTTATGTCCTTTACAACCACAATGCAGATCTAGCACCACTGGAGAGAAACACCTTTTTAGTACTTCTGTTTTCATTTTCCACGTTTGATGTATTTTGTGTTGTTGGATATTCAAGTAAATGCTTTAGCAGATATTGTTCCTTTATTATGTTTATGGAATATGTTGTATAGTTCAAGCCAGTGAACACTGACTTATGGTGAAGATATTCTCTTTATGGATGTTTGTATTAATTTGGGTGGGCAAAAACTGTATCCGTGCTATTGTTTTCATTCTAAAAGCTGTGAATGTTTGTAATCTGAATGAGTGAAAATTGCATTTGTGTCACATCCTCAGAAAGTATACTAACAGTTGCAGTTTATTAAGAAAGGAAGGTTGAAAATGTAACATAGATGTCATTAGGAGTAGATTCATGTGAGCTTACTGCCAGAACCTAGTGTTCTGGGCTGTGAGACTCTCAATTGATTCTTTAGAACCAGGGTGAAATCCAATATGTTGGTAGGAAAGAAATCTTCCTGTGGTGTTACACAAATGCACGTTTGGGTGTGTTGGTCCCCAGAGACTTTCAGTTCCACGTGGTCTTCCATCACAGCTCATTGAAAGTGATCTGCCTTCTCTTCCAAGGGGGAATTGCCGCAGGAAGCAGCGGGAAAGGAAGAGGAGCTAAGCGCAAGCAGCAGGATGGCGGGACCACAGGGACCACCAAAAAGGCCCGAAGGTGGGGAGCCCTCCCACCCCATTTTAAGTATTGTCTGGTGCTGGAAAATTCCAGTAGAGGGAAAAGAGCCATTTTCTTTAGTAGTGGCTGAGGTTAAAAAGGCTGTTCATATTTTCCAAACCATGAGCACTTTGAGGAGCAAAATAGCTCACAAAATAGGTATCCTATTTTGTGAGCTCATTACTATAAAAATGGACTCCCGGGCAGCATCTTCTGGTGATAAACCCATAGAATAAAGTTCTATTAAGGCATCTTGAGAAAGGCTAAATGAGGGGAGAGGCAGTGAAACCAGTATTGACGGTCAGCTCCTTAGCTTTCTGCTTCTCCCTTCTCCAACCTCTTCCCTTCCTTTGGTCTGATACTGAGATGATGAAATCCAGGTCACTTTCTTTTTTTTTTTTTTTTTTTTGATTTGGAGTCTCACTCTGTCACCCAGACTGGAGTGCAGTGGCCGCTCCCGGCCACCGCAGCCTCGACCTGCTGGGCTCCGGCGATCCTTCCGACTCAGCCTTCCAAGTAGCTGGAATTACAGGCATGCGCTACCACGCCCGGCTGATTTTTTTGATTTATTGTAGAGATGAGGTCTCGCTGCCCAGGTGGGTCTCGAACCCGCGGGATTGGACAATCCACTCACCTCAGCTTTCTTGTTAACCGTCAGCAGATAGTAAGTGCTCCTATCTGAGCTTCTGTTCATTTGTATAACAATAAATATGCTAAAGGAAATCACCCCACATCACTTTAATTTCACTTCTCCCTTTCTCCCCTATGATGTACTGACATCAGTTCATGTTTAAAGACCACCAGGAAGATCCCTATAGGCTATAAATAATTTAAGCAAAACTATTTTGCCAAATAAAACCAACTCTTTACATTTTTCTATTTTGCCTGCAGAGGGCAGAACGATCTATTTGAGTAGTGAAACGTATTTGTTGTGATGTTGCATGTGTTCCAGCTGGAATCTGTCTTATACGGTTGAATGCAGTTGAGCTAGAGGGGATTTTAATTTCTTGATTGTATGTTTTCCTTTCTGCAGTGACCCTTTGTTTTCTGCTCAACGCCTTCCCCCTCATGGCTACCCCTTGGAACACCCATTTAACAAAGATGGCTATCGGTATATTTTAGCTGAGCCTGATCCCCACGCCCCTGACCCTGAGAAGCTTGAACTTGACTGCTGGGCAGGAAAACCTATTCCTGGAGACCTCTACAGAGCCTGCTTGTATGAACGGGTTTTGTTAGCCCTACATGATCGAGGTATGTCAGGTATTAAAGATCATATGGACCCTAGGTTACTTTGAACTGCTGCCATTACCTTGATCCGTCTTTTAAATTTAGATATACATCTCAGTCTGTACCATGACCCATCCCCGTCTCTAATTAGACTCAGCCGGAATATGCAAGAAATAGTTTCCTTGTCCTTTCCTGTAAACTCTAGCCATTTTATATATGTATATATGACTTTTTTTTTTTTGAGTTGGAGTCTCACTCTGTCATCCAAACTGGAGTGCAGTGGCACACTTATGGCCACCACAGCCTTGACCTGATGGACTCAGGTGATCCTTCCGCCTCAGCCTTCCAAGTAGCTGGAACTACAGGCAGGTTCCACCACGCTCGACTAATTTTTTATTTATTGTAGAGACAGGTCTCGCCAAGTTGCCTGGGCTGGCCTCAAACCCCTGAGCTCAGGCAGTCCTCTTGGTTAGGCCTCCCAAAGTGCTGGAATTACAAGCTTGAGCCACCACACCGTATATATGGCTTTTTAAAACTTTCTATTTTGAGCTCATTTTAAACTTAGAGTAAAGTTGCAAAAAATACCAGTTTCTTTCACCAAGCTTCTCTAATCTTATACAGCCATAGTACAGTTATCAAAACTTAGGAAATTAACATTTATAAATACTATGAGTGAAACTAAAGGCCTTACTCAAATCACTAGTTTTTCCACTGTCTTTTTTTCTTGGATTTCATATAGTATTTAATAATTTCTTCTTAGTCCTGCAGTCTTTAACATCTCTACCAGTTCTTCAGCCATTGCTTGTCTTACATGACCATGATACTTTTAAAATGTATTAATTGGTTGTTTTGTCAAATGTTCTTCAATGAGGGTATGTTGCATGTTAGACTTGAGCTTCTTTTTTTTTTTGAGTTGGAGTCTCACTCTGTCACCCAGGCAGGATACAGTAGCACATTCATGGCTACCACAGCCTCGACCTGCTGGGCTCCGGCGATCCTTCCGCCTCAGCCTTCGAAGTAGCTGGAACTACAGGTGCATGCTGCCACACCCGGCTAATTTTTAAAAATTTTTATTGTAGCGATGAGTTCTCGCCAAGTTGCCCAGGCGGGTCTCAAACACATGGTCTCAGGCAATCCACTCACTTCTGCCTCCCAAAGTGCTGGGATTACAGGCTGAGCACTGAGCCCGGCCTTTGTTTTTGTTTTTTTTTTTTTGAGTTGGAGTTTCTCTCTGTTGCCTAGACTGGCTGGAGTGCAGCGGCACACTCATGACCACCACAGCCTCAAAGTACTTCTGCCTCAGCCTTCCCAATAGCTGGAACTATAAGCATGCACCATCATGCCTGGCTAATTTTTAAATTTGTTTTAGAGACGCACTCTTGCCAAGTTTCCCAGGCTGGTCTCGAACCTCTAGACTCAGGTAATCCTCTTTCCTCCTCTCAAGGTGCTGGGATTATAGACGTGAGCCAGTGTATCTGGCTCATTATTTTGTTGCTTAAAATTATTCCAGCTTTGGCCATTGGGAGCTTCTTCAAGAAGTTGGTTTTTGTGTTCTTTGGATAAGCCCCACCTTTTTTTTTTTTTTTTAAGTATTTCCTTACATTCTGGCATCGCAAGATATTCATAACTAATCTTGTATTTTCCATGCCCCAGGCCTAGTATCAGCTACTTCTTCACAGACCTATGTGTACACATAAATGGTGTTTAGAAATTGAGATCTGCTGGGGGTGGTGGCTCACACCTGTAATCCCAGCACTTTGGGAGGCAGAGGTGAGAGGATTGCCTGAGCCCAGGGGTTTAAGACTAGCCTGGTCAACTTGGTGAGACCTCATCTCTACAATAAATAAAAAAATTAGCTGGGGATGGTGGTGCATGCCTGTAGTTCTAGCTACTTGGAAGACTGAGGTGGAAGGGTTGCCTGAGCCCAGCAGGTCGAGGCTGCAGTGGCTGTGAGCAGCGTGTCACTGTACTCCAGCCTGGGCTACAGAGTGAGACTCTGACTCAAAAATAAATAAATAAATAAAAACAATTAAGATTTAGATGTTAGGCGTGCTTACTGTTACTGGATGTTATTGCTTCATTCTTTTTTGTTTGTCCTTTCTGTATTTCCTTTTTATAACGAGCAGATACAGTACATGTATATTTTGTATCTTCTTTTTGATACATGAAGGGCAGCATACTGTACTTTTTTGCATTTTGCTCCATGCAGTTACTTCATGTCAGTTTAAAGAAGTCATCCTCTTTTTTTTTTGAGTTGCAGCCTCACTCTTGTTGGCCAGGCTGGAGTGCAGTGACACACTCATGGCCACCGCAGCCTCAACCTCCTGGGCTTAGGTAATCCTTCTGCTGTAACCTTCCAAGTAACTGAAACTATAGATGCACACCACCATGCCCGGCTACTTTTTTGTGATTTATTGTAGAGATGAGGTCTCACAAAGTTGCCCGGTGTGGTCTCGAACCTCCAGTCTCAGGCAGTCCTCTCACCTTGGCCTCCCAAAGTGCTGGGATTGCAGGCTGAGCCACCACACCTGACCATCCTCATTTTTTTTAATCACTACATGACATTCTATTGTGTGTCTGTGCTATAGTTTATTCAGCCACGCTATGTATGGGCATTTAGATTATTTCTAGTATTTTGTAGTTACAAACAAAGGAACAGTAAACCTTGGGCCTGCATTTTTTTTGTGTTGTTGGCACTGTATTTTCCTTTTTTTTTTTTGAGTTGGAGTCTCACTCTGTCACTCAGACTAGAGTGCAGTGGCCGCTCCCGGCCACTGCAGCCTCGACCTGCTGGGCTCTGGTGATCCTTCCGCCTCAGCCTTCCAAGTAGCTGGAACTACAGGCGTGCGCTACCACACCCGGCTAATTTTTGATTTATTGTAGAGATGAGGTCTCGCCAAGTTGTCCAGGTGGGTCTCGAACCTGCGGGCTCAGACAATCCACTCACCTCGGCCTCCCAAAGCGCTGGGATTACAGGCTGAGCCACCGAGCCTGGCCGGCACTGTATTTTCTTTCTTTTTTTTTTTTTATTTTTGGAGTTGGAGTCTCACTCTGTCGCTAAGGCTGGAGTGCAGTAGTAAGCTCATGGTCACCACAGCCTCAACCTGCTGAGCTCAGGTGATCCTTCCCCTTCAGCCTTCCAAGTAGCTGGAACTACAGGCATGTGCCAACTCGCCTGGCTAATTTTTTTGATTTTATTGTAGAGATGAAGTCTTGCCAAATTGCCTAGGCTGGTCTCAAGCTCAGGCAATCCTCTCACCTCCACCTCCCAAATTTCTCAGATTATAGGCATGAGCCGCTGCATCCGGCCAGCAGTGTATTTTCGAGGTTGATTCCTAGAAGTGGGATTGCTGCACCAAAAAGCTATGTGTATATGTAGTTTTGTTAGCTATTGCCAAATTTCCTTTCAGAAGGGTTGTACTGGTTTGCATTTCCATCAGCAGTGAAGAGAATGTTTATTTTCTCATAGCCTCTTGAACAGAACGTGTTGTTCTGTATTTTAATTTTTGCCAGTCTGATAGAGGAGATATAGTATCTTATTGTTTTAATTTGTACTTCTTTCAGTCATTATTTCTTTTTTTTGTGGGGGGGCAGGGAGTTTGAGTCTCACTCTGTCACCCAGGATGGAGTGCAGTGGCATGCTCATGGCCACTGCAGCCTCAACCTGCTGGTCACAAGTGATTCTTCTGCCTCAGCCTTCCAAGTAGCTGGAACTACAGGCACGCGCCACCATGCCCGCCTAATTTTTTGATTTATTGTAGAGATGAGGTCTCGCCAGGTTGCCCAGGCTGGTCGGGAACCAGTGGGCTCAGGCAGTTCTCTCACCTCAGCCTCCCAAAATGCTGGGATTATAGGTGTGAGCCACCGCACCTGGCCTGGCCAATTTTTTAAAAAACTTTTGTAGAGATGAGGTCTCACTATGTATCCCAGGATGGTCCTGAACTCCTGGGCTCAAGCAGTCTTCTGTTTTCAGCCTTTCAAGAGTGCTGGGTTTACAGGCATGAGTCACTGTGCCTGTCCTTGACTTTGTTTATAACCTTTGTTATTGTGCAAAGCTCTTTTTAGTGTGTATTAGCTCTTCTAATGACATAATATTTTTCTATAGTAGCAAAATTGTATTTATTGTCTTTTGGAATGTAAAAGTGAATTTAAGTAAGTTAACCACTTTTAGACAAGTATACCTTATTAGTTTTGTTGTTTTTCTGAATTGTTAGTACAAATTCTATCTTAGAATTCCAGTATACTTTATCAGTTTTGTTGTTTTTCTGGATTATTTCTGGAATTTTTACTAAGCTACAGTAAGACATGATTGTACCACTGCTCTGCAGCCTGGCGTCAGAGTAAGAACCTATCTCTTAAAAAAAAAATTAGGCCGGGCACAGTGTCTCATGTCTGTAATCCCAGGATTTTGGAAGGCCAAAACATGAGAATTGCTGGTGCCTGGGAGTTCAAGACTAGCCTGAACAACATAGTGAGACCTTATCTCTATTTATTATTTCACCCATAAATACTTTAGTATGTATTCCTAATGAGGATTTTCAAACATAACCACTCTGCCATTATAAGACCTAACTAAAGTTAATAATAATTCCTTAACTATCTAATACCTGATCTATATTTCAGATTTCCATAGTTGTTTGAACTATATCTAAACAGCTCCTTATATTTATTATATTTGAAAGTCTGTTATTTCTTGATTTAATACCAAAAACTGCAACACTTGTATTGATGCTAATCATTTGAAAGTGAAGTAATTCCATGGTGTGATGTCTTTTTATGTGGATCTGTTTGGCTCTGGTTAGTGACATGTTTACTTTGGTAGTTGGGAAGGGCCAAATAAGTGACTTCAGGGACTAAGAAGTTAGATTTGTCTTGTTTGACACTTAATAACCATAATTCCGGGGGAAAAATAAAAGTGAGAAGGAACACTGGCCACCTACCTACCTTAACTTATTAGCTCTCATTACATTAGGATAGCCTGCTGGTAACTTAATAAAATTTAGTGATTGTCCGGGTGTGGTGGTTGTGACCTGTAATCCCAGAGTTTTGGGAACCTGAGGCTAGAAGATCACTTGAGCCCAGGAATTTGAGGCTGCAGTAAACCATGATTACATCACTGGGCAAATCTTAAAAAAAAATGTCTAAAGAATTAAACTGGGCACAGTGGCTGATGCCTATAATCAATCCCAGCACTTTGGGAGACTGAGGCAGGAGAATTGCTTAAGCCTAGTAATTCAAGACCAACCTGAACAACATAGCAAGACTGTCTCTACAAAAAATTCAAGTTACCTGGGTGTGTTGGTGTGTGCCTGTAGTCCCAGCTACTCAGGGAGGTTGAGGTGGGAGGATCGTTTGAGCCTGGAAGGTTGAGGCTGCATTGAACCAAAGTCACACCACTGCTCTTCTCCAGCTTGGTAGACAAAGTGAGACCCTGTCTAAAAAAAAAGTAATAAATCTGTATTATCTCCTAAACTTTATGTATGTATGTATGTATATTTTAAATATGTGGGATACAATTCAGGGTTAGGTATACAAATGTTCATTACGCAAGTACCATTGTTGATAAGTTGTACTCCCTCATCCCCTAGCAGTTTCCTACTACTGCTGATCCCACCTCCCCAAACTTTTTATTTTGAAATCTAAGATTTACAAAAAAGGTATAAGAGCAGGCAAAACTTTTTTTTTCTGAACCATTTGCAAGTAAGTTGTCATGGTGCCATGTCATGTAATAGTACCATTAGTACAATAGTGAATATTTCTTTCTTTCTTTTTTTTTTTTTTGAGTCAGAGTCTCACTCTGTCGCCCAGACTGGAGTGCAGTGGCCACTCACGGCCACTGCAGCCTCGACCTGCTGGGCTCTGGTGATCCTCCTGCCTCAGCCTGCCAAGGAGCTGGAACTACAGGCACGCGCTACCACACACGGCTGGTTTTTTTTTTATTTATTGTAGAGATGAGGTCTCTCCAAGTTGCCCAGGCAGGTCTCGAACCCGGGGCTTAGGCAATCCACTCACCTTAGCCTCCCAAAGCGCGGGATTACAGGCTGAGCCACTGAGCCTGGCGTGAGTATTTCTTACAAGGACATTTTCCTTCGATTGGTTATCTACTGCTGCATAACAAATTAGCATCATATTTAGTCGTCTGAAACTACGGATGTTTATTATCTCTCACAGTCTTTTGCAATTTGGGTTGGGAGCAGTTGGGCTGTATGGTCTGGCTTGGGAAATCTTACGAGGCTACAGTCAAGCTTTTATTTATTTATTTATTTTATTTTTTATTTTTTGAGTTGGAGTCTCACTCTGTCACCCAGACTGGAGTGCAGTGGCCGCTCCCGGCCACTGCAGCCTTGACCCACTGGGCTCTGGCAATCTTTCCACCTCAGCCTTCCGAGTAACCGGAATTACAGGCACGCACTACCATGCCCGGCTGATTTTTTGATTTATTGTAGAGATGAGAGCTCACCAAGTTGCCCAGGTGGGTCTCGAACTCGCAGACTCAGGCAATCCACTCACCTCAGCCTCCCAAGGTGTGGGATTACAGGCTGAGCCACTGAACCCAGCTTGCAGTCAAGCTTTTAGCCAGGATTGTATCCAGACTATAGCACTATTCATAGGATTTCTCCCAGATTTTAACAATTATCAAGATTTTGTCACATTTGCTTTATCTGTTCCTTTTTTCTTTATTTTTTCTGAAAATAAAAATGTGTACTCTAAAAACATATACATTTCTTTAGAAATACAGATGATGTCTTTTATAATCATAATGTTATTATCACACTTAACAGAATGCGTAATTCCTTACTATCATCTGAATTCAGTTCATAATCAGATTTCTCTGATTGTCTCAAATATCCCTTTATCTCCCCATAAGATACTTTTTTATTTTTGAGTTGAAGCTTCACTGTTGCCAAGGGTGGAGTGCAGTGGCACACTCACGGCCACTGCAGCCTCGACCTGCTAAGCTCAGGTGATCCTTTTGCTTCAACCTTCCAAGTAGCTGGAACTATAGTCATGTGCCACCATGTCCAGCTAATTTTTTTATGTATTGTAGAGATGAGGTCTCACCAAGTTGCCCAGCCTGGTCTTAAACCTGTGGGCTCAGGCAGTCCTCTCACCTTGGCCTCCCAATGTGCTGGAATTATAGGTCACTGCACCTGGCAAGATAGTTATTAATTACAAAGGGATGGGAGGCTAAGGTAGGAGGATCACTTGAGGCCAGAAGTTTGAGACCAGCCTAGGCAACATAGTGAGACCGTCTCTAAAAAAAATTTTTTTTTTTTAACCTGCATGCTCACAGCCACCGCAGCCTCAACCTGCTGGGCTCAGGCAAATCCTTCTGCCTCAGCCTTCCAAGTAGCTGAACTACAGGCATGTACCACCACACCCGGCTAATTTTATGATTTATTGTAGAGACAAGGTCATGCCATGATACTCTTTGGACCCATGAACTCGGGCAGTCCTCTCGCCTTCACCTCCCAAAGTGCTGGGATTACAGATGTGAGCCACTGCGCCTGGCCAAAAAAAAAATCTTTTTAAAAATAGCTGTGTGTGATGGCTGGCACCCGTAATCCTAGCTACTAGAGAGGCTGAGGCAGGAGGATCACTTGGACTCAGGATCAGGGCTATAGTGAGTTATGATCATGTCACTGCACTGCGGTCTGAATGACAGAATGAGACCCTGTCTTAATAACAACAACAAAAAAAAGAGTAGCTCAGCCTGTAATCCTGCACTTTGGGAGGCCGAGGTGAGTGAATTGCCTGAGCCCGAGGGTTTGAGACCTGCCTGGGCAACTTGGCAAGACCTCATCTCTATAATAAATCAAAAAATTAGCCAGGCGTGGTAGTGCGTGCCTGTAGTTCCAGCTACTTGGAAGGCTGAGGCAAGGGATCGCCTGAGCCCAGCAGGTCGAGGCTGCAGTGGCCAGGAGCATGCTACTGCACTCCAGCCTGGGCAACAGAGTGAGACTCCAACTCAAAAAATTAAAAAAAGAGAGAGAGAATAGTAATTTCACAGTGGAGAGACCTAGCAGGCACCATCTTAACCAATTGACCAAGGTGAGTGTCACTATTTTGCTATCATGTGCCTCCTGGTGTGATGTGCTGAGGGGCACAGCATTACTTTGTTGGGGTTCTTGAGTAAAGAAAATAATTGAGGGGCATTCTGAAGCTAAAGTGACCTGTGCTCTTCAAAGTACCAAGTTTGTGAATGGCAGGGGAACTGCTCCAGATTGGACAGGACTAAGGAGACATGACAGCTAAATGAAATGTGGGGTCTTAGATTTGACCCTGGGTGAGAAACGGGGCATTACTTGGATAATTGGCTTAATTTGAAGACCTTCAGATGAGTTAATAGTGTTGTATCATCATTAATTTTCTGGTTTTGATTGTGTTATGATTATAAAGTCTGACATTGTTTTAAGATAAAAAGTTAAATCTTTTAAAGGATGTTTTATTCAAGTCAAGATCCAAACACATTATGATTGGTATGTTAATACTCCAGGGACTATGCAATACAATTAATTTTAACCAGTCATCCTGAATGCAATCACATTTAATAAAAACTAGATGACCTAACAATTTTATTCCTTTTTCTTCCTTTTCTTTGTCAGTATCTTGCTGAGGTTTTTAAACTCCTCAACTAATATTTCAAACATTTGACCTATTGTTTGGGATTTCTTATTTTGTTTGACTAGAGTGTAAGGGACTCAAGTGTTTATAGCATTTGTCTCCAAGAACCTCAGATCACAGGTCTGTTTTATTCTCCATCACTGCAGCTCCTCAGTTAAAGATCTCTGATGACCGACTGACTGTGGTTGGAGAGAAGGGCTACTCCATGGTGCGGGCCTCTCATGGGGTACGGAAAGGTGCCTGGTACTTTGAAATCACTGTGGATGAGATGCCACCAGATACTGCTGCCAGGCTGGGTTGGTCCCAGCCCTTAGGTAAGCTGGGACCATAATACAGACATCACAGCACGTAGTAAGGTATAAACCATCTGGCTAAGGACTAAGGCCTCAAGACTGTTGGGTTTATCAGGTTGTGGGCATACATTTTAGTTCCTGAAGGTTGAACTGGTTTGCAATTAATGGGATATTTCGTGCTTTTTTTTTGCTTCTGAGAACCAGTTTGTAAGCAATTTTACAAAATTAACACAAAATGTAAAATAAGGAATAGAATCTTTTTCTCTTAGCAAGTCAGAGTTTGCTTGCCATCCTCTAACTTCCCATACTGCCTTTTTATTGGGACAGGTAACCTTCAAGCTCCCTTAGGTTATGACAAATTTAGCTATTCTTGGAGGAGCAAAAAGGGAACCAAATTCCACCAGTCCATTGGGAAACACTACTCTTCTGGCTATGGACAGGGTGACGTCCTAGGATTTTATATTAATCTTCCTGAAGACACAGAGACAGCCAAGTCATTGCCTGATACTTACAAAGATAAGGTGAGTTTATTCTCCTCCAGGGGGTTCCAGGTACTGTGGCAACCAGTGCCTACATCTGGGCCTGTGTGTTCCCTTGTGACGCTGACCACAGTGTATTTTATTCCTGATGTTTTATAATGAACGTTTTCAGACATAAGGTTGGAAGAGTTTAAGAGTCAGTGCCCAAGCCGGGCTCGGTGGCTCAGCCTGTAATACCGCGCCTTTGGGAGGCTGAGGTGAGTGGATTGCCTGAGCCCGTGGGTTCGAGACCCACCTGGGCAACTTGACGAGCCCTCATCTCTACAATAAATCAAAAATTAGCCGGGCGTGGTACTACATGCCTGTAATTCCGGCTACTTGGAATGCTGAGGCGGAAGGATCACCGGAGCCCAGCAGATCGAGGCTGCGGTGGCCGGAGCGGCCACTGCACTCCAGTCTGGGCGACTGAGTGAGACTCCAACTCAAAAAAAAAAGAGTCAGTGCCCAAATACTTATCACCTAGATTCTGCCATTAACATGTTATTCATTCATTCTTCCACCCATCCATTCCCCTGTCATTTTTAAGGCACAACAGAGAAAAGGACAGATATCAGGACACTTTCCCCTTTTGTATGGATAGCATTAGCTAGAGTTCAATCTTGTTTCATTTGGTTGTTTTTTTGCTTTGTTTGTGTCAGAGTCTCACTCTTTTGCCCAGGCTGGAGTGCAGTGGTAGGTGATCTGTCCGCCTCAGCCTTCCAAGTAGCTGGAACTACAGGCACATGCCACCACACCCAGCTAATTTTTTTATTTATTGTAGAGATAAGGTCTTGTCAAGTTGCCCGGGCTGGTTTGGAACCCGTAGGCTCAGGCAGTCCTCTCACTTCAGCCTCCCGAAGTGCTGGGATTATAGGCATGAGCCACCGCACCCAGCCTAGTTTTTCTTTGAAGTAAAATTTATAGAAAATGAAATATACAGATTCTAAATGTATATTCATTGAGTTTTTGTGTTTGACCTAACCTGCTGTCAACATGTAGAATCTTTTTTTTTTTTGAGTTGGAGTCTCACTCTGTTGCCCAGACTAGAGTACAGTGGCATGCTCCCGGCCACTGCAGCCTCGACGTGCTGAGCTCTGGCGACCCTTCCGCCTCAGCCTTCCACGTAGCTGGGACTACAGGCATGCACTACCATGCCCGGATAATTTATTT